TTTATTTTTTTTAGTGTTCTGTCTGACGACAGGTCCATATGAACATGATCCTTCCATCCTTTTCTCGGACTGGGATCTGTTCATATACGTTCTTGGCAGATGATCCAGAGGTGGTTTGCCATTGCCTTCTTCTGTGTGTGCATGGAGTAATTGTTGGGATGCCACGGAGAAACCGGGGAAGCCCCCGGAGGAAAACTCCGTGTTGCCTAGACCACGGCCTTGCCCAACACAAGTTATAAATTCGGGCACCGCCGGGAATCGAACCCGAGACCCCAGGATTACAAGGCCAGCGTTCTAACCGCTAGACCACCGTGGCTATAATTCGTTTTAGGTCCAGAATTATTTGAACCAGATTTTACCAACGTATATTTAGTACTCGTACGGCCCATTGTAAAGAGAATGATGGGTGTTCCAGCTCTTTGGATCTCTCTCCCCACCCATTTTCCAATCCCCTAAACAGCTCTTATACTAACAGACACCTGACACCATTTTCGTGCGATGGGGACGCGAGTTTTTAAGGCACATACATCGTAATGCTCCCACAGCGCGTGCGCGATGCCACAACCAGTCAGAAGCATTGTGATGTCACAATGTGGGCGGGATCAAGCTAGTTGTCATGGTGATGAATTGAATGAACGAGATAACCTTGTTTATGTATACGTCGGATATAAGCAGGCAAGGATTTCCGTTCACGTGCCACTAATCATGTGACGTGCGTTGGTGTAAAGTCGATATATAACCGGTGTGTGCAGACAACGATTTAACTATTTGGTCGATATAAATCGATTTAACATACGTCTTTCGTAATACATTTTCCAGTAGAGCATTTCGAAATTCATTCTAATGACTACTTTAGTTGTGAAGTTGTGAAGAGTTTTATACGAAATATTTTTTTAATTTCAACATTTTATGTGCCCAAATAACAAACAACACGAGTCTCGAGACGTTTTGTTGTGGGAAAAGTGCATCTTCCAAAAAAATACGTCTTCTGCAATTACTAACCTGGTAAGTTATTAGCTAAAATATTTAATTACCCTACTAATAATGTTCTTTGTGTTTTGATTAATCGCATGAATGCCTTAATAAACTTCAGTTAACGTATATTATTCCTGTAGAACGTCAAACATACGTTTATATTCTGTATACGAAATAAATTTTGTATGTTAAAAACAGGGAAATAATCCCAAAAACTCAAAATTTGTTGCATGTGTAATATTTAATAAGCAGAAGATAGTAAAGTTGCGTCATATTGTGATATAATAAGTATATATTAAATCTTGTCCGTCTAATCACAATAAATTCTTATTAAATATTAAAATATTATAATAATTAACATTTAAAATATTTAAAATATTAAATGATGAAAAATGATGGTCTAATGTAAATAGAATATTTCGATAAAGAACATAATTTAATATTTTAAATATTTTAAAATGTTAATTATTGTAATATTTTAATATTTAATAAGAATTTATTGTGATTAGACGGACAAGATTTAATATATACTTAATAAGCAGAGTACCATAATCATTTATAAATGCTGAAACGTCGGTCTTTTAAATTTATAATTAGCGTTCAATTTTTTAAGAACTTACCAAACTGTGAAATTATGTCATTACAGGACGTTTATATCGTAGGTATATTAATAAATTATTTTTAATCGTGACACCCAGAAGCTTGTATTAAATATATTTACACTTATATTTCCTAAGTCTGTGTCAATTCGATTTAATAAGTGTTTAAGTGTGAAACCAAACGAGGTTATAGATTGGATTTCATTTTCAAATTATAAAAAATATATCTTGGAAACTGGCAAAAGGATTAAAATACCGCCTCATTAATTATTTGGCTTGGCTTCATATATTTAAAAGTGTATTTCTATACAGTTCATACACTTTATTAAAATTCCTTGGAATTGGTAACTTTATTTCTAAACAGAGTTTTGCAGATTTTTTCGTGTATATACTGAGGCACGTAACTGACAATACAGTGATATTTCTGATTTCTATTCACAAAGAGATCATAAAAATGGTAACAGATCCACGATTGTAAAACGAAATAATACTTTCAAAGCTAAATTTCTCTTTTAGTTATAAAAATAAAATCTCATAGCTTTATAATTAAGACTAAAAACGTAATATATCTCAAATAACTAAACAGGAAACAATTATAAATACAAATAATTAGATAATTATTATACGATAAAGTTGACATGCAACCAGTAAAACCTAACACAATGCTGTATTCCACTGTAATGTATGGAATACAGATGGAATATATTATTTAAATCTTGTCCGTTAATTATTGTAATATTTTAATATTTAATAAGACTTTATTGTGATTAGACGGACAAGATTTAAATAATATATTTATTATATCACAATATGAAGCAACTTTACCATCTTATTACAGATGGAATATTAATTACTTTAATTAATAAAAATATTTACATATCTAAGCAACAGTATTTAAAATGAGTTACGAGAAATAAATGATCTGAATTTCAGTGTTTTTGTTAATATGACCAGGCAATGGTGGAATTGATAACAAGAAAGAAGGAAGGCAAAACAGACGTAAGTCTCTTCATTCCTTGTGCAAAGCGTTTCATCGTGTTCCTGTTTCAGTCATGCCGGCCAACAAATTCATGATCGGTGTCGATTCCATTTACCACGAAGCCAGCAGCCCTGATTCTGGATACGACATGGAGATGTCACTACTTGGATTGAAGATGGAACGAGAGGACCAGGAAAACGTCGACGAAGATACAGACGAGGAGGACGACGACTGCGAAGAAAGTTTCGGAGACAGAAGGGAAGTCGAGAGAGCGAAAGATACGAAAACTGAAGGCGAAGTATCAAATATGGCGAAACAAAGACACGGAAACCGGAAACATGATGGTCACATCGGCAATGGTTCTGGAAACAGAAAAAAGCGATACAGCAGGGCGAGGTCCTCCAGAGCAAGGAGCCCAACTCAGGTAGGGTGCTCTCGCTGTTCAGAATCTGCATTTAAAGACGCTGATAGTAACTCAGAAGATCCGGCGACCTGCCGATGCATGCTGGGTAGACCTCGAATGTTTGAAAGAATATTTACCACATAAAAAGTAATTAATAAAAATAAATTATTAAATCCAAATTTGGTCAAGATTGATTTCTTGTTGTCAACATAAAAGATACGATATCGAATAGCAAAAATTTAAATAAAATTCGATACCCAAAGATTAAGCAAGCACAAATCTTGTCAAATTCTCGCTAATGACTTGATTTTATAAAGAGTGATACAGGGTGATTCAAAAGTCGTTGTTCAAACGCGCCCTAGAATCTCACGTCACTTGTTTGTGTCACGTGATTTTGCGTGTGTCACGTGACTGAGTGACCATGACCTCTACCTTCAATCAACCAGCTGTGACGAGTTATAACCTTACGTTCACGACGAAAAATAAATTTGAATTCTTACTAGTACACATTGGCTTCTGAAATACTTTGTATATGAAACAGTGAATATTCTTGGGACTGTTTCCAAAGCTAAATGTTCTTTTCGCGTGTTATTGAAGACAGCCAGACCAGACTGAGATATTCACGGACTGTACCACTGTCGCTATAATAAGTGGTGCCTTTCGTTAGAGAATAAAGCCAGTCCAAGGCGGTAGATAAGACTTTGACGACGTCTAAACATCTCTTTAATGCATGCAGATAAACGATGTATAAGCATTGGATTTCTTAGTATCAGAGCTATGATTCCTGTCGAGCTGTTTGTGTTCGAAAGATTAAGACCAATTTCAACACCATTAAAGTGAAACAGAATGTGAAGTGTAAACGATGAAGTCACTACACATAAAGAATGCTTGATAAGGAGACAAATGAATATGCATATGTCAGTGGTGGATTGCTGAATGCATCAAAATAATTTTGAAAAATAGAATTTTCCTACTAGGAAGATGGGATATTTGTTTCTAACTTTATCAGATATAAAATACTTCTATTATATAATTAAATATGTCAACTACACATCCGATGGTATTCCTTCACGATATGATATATGCCAAAACACTTGGTGTTGAATCCTGGCTTCTTTTACTATTACAAGGTTCACAAAGTCTTATCAGGAAAACTAGGATAGAACTTATGCAAAGAAGAAGGCTTGAACGATATGATGATACAGTTTGCCAGCCTCAGTTTGACTCCAGATCACGTAAAAATTCATAAAATAAGTGGCGGACTCAGTCCGACAGAGACCGCAAAGGGTTAAACCCCTGAGCCCATAGAAACTATTCCCTCTCTACTCCTTTGCCTAATTTTTCGGTAAATATTAAAAATTTTACGTTGTCATTTGCATTAATGTGCCTAAATAATGAAGTGTTGTACCTGATTACTTCAGAAGGAAAATACATTTACATTTCCTCATTCCAGTCTTATTTTTAAGGATCTCGCTGGGATGCCTTAATAGCGATATTTCATTTGCTTGTAACCTCCCAAGTTCCTCTCTGAGGTTTTCCGCGCTCCACTGACCTCTATTAACATTTCTTCTTCTCATGTACTCAGGAGGCATCTTATGAAGCGAGTAAGTTATAGTCAATTCTGTAAGAAGGCAAACTTGATTTTCATCGTCATTTTTAGAAACAATGATTCAATCTAATTGCAAGATAATGCAATAGAACAGACATTTTTGAGTACTCTTTAATGTAAATGTATAATTTTTTAAATCAGATGTGGAATTTTTTGAAGTGCGGAATCTCTCCCTTAATTTCTTAAGGCATCTCTCCTTATCTTCAGGGAGATACCCAATGACCAACATGGCGGCCACATCGTGTGAAGTCAAGACCAACAACGCTGTAAACCTCTAATGTATCTTGATTTAATAATTACTTCGACTAGAACTAATAAAGACACATTTTATGAACAGTAGAAATAACTTTGAGCATAAAATTATCAAACTCACAGCATGAAATCAGTTGCGCCGTGTAGTCTGACAGAATTTTACCGACGTTTCAGAGGTCCATTCCATGAATTCATCGCCCTGATGATGGAGGCAGTATGACCTTTGAAACTTTGGTAAACATCGACCAGACTACACAGCGCAACAACCCAGAAGACAGAAATCTTCATACTCTGATATCGCCCTGATGACGGAGGCAGTATGACCTCTGAAACGTTGGTAAACATCGACCAGACTACACAGCGCAACAACCCAGAAGACAGAAATCTTCATACTCACCGCTGTGAAAACCTCAAATCTTACCCAAAATCATCTGTTGATTTAAAGAAATTATCGTCCCATCCGAATTCATGTACCACTCCCATTAAATTAAATTTAAATTTCGTTATTCAGATTAAAGCTAAAATAAGTCGACTTATTACAGGTGTTACGTCTTAAGAAACATCGTCGAATGAAAGCCAATGATAGAGAGCGAAACAGGATGCACATGTTGAACGAGGCCTTGGATCGACTGCGGTGTGTCCTACCAACATTCCCAGAAGACACAAAACTCACCAAGATCGAAACTCTGAGGTTTGCCCACAACTACATCTGGGCTCTCAGCCAAACAGTTCACATGATCCAGCAAGATTCAAGTTCTCCAAACTCTACATCTGCGTCGTCATCAGGAAATGGAGTGACGCTTAACGTCGGGAGTGTCACTGTTAGCATTGGAGGAGACCATGGGAACATGATCACGTCGACAACTGGCAGCTGTGCCGTGGCCCACCAGAGACGAGTCACCAGTGCAGGACAACATCAAGACAGTAGCAACTCTCGCTGCTCAGATTGGAACATCGACCAAGATTCGAACTGTTACTCTGTTTTCAGTGGGAGTGACCAAAGTGTGGATTTCATTCCTCAGCGCGAAGACCAATGCAATCTACACCACGCGCCTTACCACGAAAACCATTCTGCAATGACAGCCATATATGAGTGCCTATGAACACCATCTGACGAGACTGTAACATGTATTACATTTTATATAGTATACTTCGTCTCTGGACAATTTTGAATAATTTTAAATAATTGTGATATAATCTGTCATAATTACATCGTAATTATATCGGACAGAAAATTTATAAAAAAAAATAAAACTGAAGTTAATTCTTGATTTTATGAACTGCATAGAAGATTTAGATAGTAAATTACATTTCTCCAAATTATAAACAATTAGCTTACTGAACAAATACATTTTTTTCTGTCTGTCCATTAAAATGTGTATTATATGTATTATTTAATTTTGGTTTTGAAAATCAACGCTGCTGATGTGTTTTTTTTAAAAAATTATGAGTTTAAGATCTGTCAGTCACACCTTTCCCTCTTCAACTTCGTTAGGGTTTACTATTCTTTCAATATAAAAATAATCTTGCAGTTGCCAATGGCGATTTCACAGACTTTTCAGGAAGAAGAATCTAATTCAGTGTCCGGTTGTGACATATGGAATGGACATAGTTACTCTCGAATAATTTCTTACGAAGGCATACAGTTACCAACAATACTCTGACACGCTGGTAATAAGTTCAAGACTTATAATCCAGAATACCACAACTGACAGTTTCTGTACCTTAAAAACATTAAATCTTAGATAATTTCTTAATCTTTCCAAAATATATGGTCTGTTAATAAGGTAGTATATTTGCGTCATATTATGAATTAGGTTAATATTTTAATATTTTCCGTCAAATCACAATTTTAATAAGATAATAAAATATAAAATATTTAAAATATCATTTCACGTTCCGCATCGAATGATCGATTTACAAATTGGTATAAATTTATACCTGAGGACGGTTAAATATAACCGAAACATGTCGTAAGAGACGTTCCAATTTGTAAATCGATCATTCGATGCGGAACGTGAAATGATATTTTAAATATTTTATATTTTATTATCTTATTAAAATTGTGATTTGACGGAAAATATTAAAATATTAATATGGTCTGTTAAGTTAAAATGTTGTTATTATGTAAGTACTGCTAAAAAAATAAAAGTCTAACTGGTAATCTCAGACGTTATTGAAATATTCTGTCTCAGTCGTGAACAGATAACTTTAGGACACATTGAAATCAATTAGAGTATCAGGAACTGTCTTGCGTATAGAGTTTAAAAATATAAAAAGTAAAATGTAATTCGTCCGTCACACTTTCTTAAAGTTTCTATTCCCAGGCAAATAAAATGCCATTTGTAGGATTTCTTCGCAAACATGTTAATCTACCATAAATTTCGTACATGTGCTATAATTCAGATAGTAAGTTTTACTGGGAATTTTATTATTTGTTATATATTTGGGGGATGAATTCTGAGAGTTCAAAGTACAAGACTTTACACTTTAAGTTGTCTTGCCAGATCCAACAAAACCTTAAGTCTTTAAATTAAACGATATTTTGAGCGATACATATGAATAAGTTCCAGTACTGATAGATTTTGAACTCATATTTATTATTTGTATACAAATTTTGAATTTATTTGCTCAAACGCTGTTCTGTTACTAGTCTGTGGCAATATTGTATTATTTGTTTGTTAATTTATTTTTCTAGTTCTGTTGTATTTCAATGCATATTGTTTTATATATTTGTATTTTTAATTCATTTATCAGAAATAATTCAAATTTGATAGTAATTTCTCTTAAAGTAAATTAATCGAAATGCTTTTATTAAATTTGCTGGAATTTTTGAGAATATATTTAAATTGACAAGTTGATAGTTTCTACATGTAGGCTGACGAAGGCAAAAAAAATGCAACATTTAAATATAAATATATCGTAATGTTTTTAATTCAAAATCGTGTGAATCATTTATCTCTGATAAGAATATTACTAACTGGATTATATATAAAGTTTTTGAGCACAGAAACATTAAAAATTTCGTTCAAAAATATTTATTATAATCTCATAATTTGTAAGATCATCTTTCCATTTCTGGACGCATTTGAATATAAATTAATGAAAGTAAAATATTTTTATTTTTATATCGTGGAATATGTGTATTCTTATCATATGAACAGTATATTTTTGTATCGCTGTAAATGTTAACATTAAAACATAAATTTATTATATACTGATATACACAAACTTTCTTTTTGATACAAATTAATATTCTGGTGCAAATAAAGTGGATAACTCCGAAATGGTCAAATCATGTTCCTGGTTTTTAGATTATTAAAATAGCAAAACGAATAGCTCATTATTTTAACGTAAGAAACAAAATAATCCTTAAGCTTGTTAAATCAGAAAATTGAGAAGTTATCTTTATGTCTACATAAAATATTGCATATTTAAAACAGGTTTTGTCCCACCTGAGAAAAATACATAATGTCACTTATTCCTTTTTATCACCAGAGTTATCAATTATTCCATTCTGCTTCTCAAATGCGTTTGACTATCCTTAAAACATTTTCAAACTTCAACCGCCTTAAAATAATGTAATATAAGTAAATTTGTAGCCTAATCCTGCCTCAATTTGGATCTTTTTAAGCATAGCTCGAGATGAATTTTAAGGTTCAGAAATAACCTTCAAAGTCGGGATTAAATTAAAATGACATTGCATAAGAGATCCAATTTTATAGATGAGAAGTGAATTACGTTCAGTAATATGTTTTCCGTAAGTACGTATTACACTCGCTGTGTTTAAAATTCTTCAAATAAGTATTAAAACACAGTGAGTGTAATTTGAGTTTCTCACGGCGATAACTGGCTGCTTTGTTTGAATAAAACCAAACATCAGAATTTTAAATAATTACAAATCTTCAATATTTTTTAATATTTTAATATTTTTCGTCAAATCACAATTTTTAATAAGATAATAAAATATAAAATATTTAAAATATCATTTCACGTTCCGCATCGAATGATCGATTTACAAATTGGAAGATTTGTAAGGTAGTATATTTGCGTATATTTTATTATCTTATTAAAAATTGTGATTTGACGGAAAATATTAAAATATTAACCTACTTCACAATATGACGCAAATATATTACCTTACAAATCTTCAAATTAAACTTTCCAGAGCGGACTATACCAACGAAATTACAAGGTGACAAAAACACTGCAAATTGTCGAATGACAGTGAATTATAGCAGTTGGTTCAACCCACTGATGTGTGAGGTCCGACTGAAGGCAAACGTCACTCGGGCTCCTTACTATACGATAAGGTCAAAGCATTGTGTCGGTCAGCTATGCTACGAGCGGGTTCAAGGGTTGGGGGAAAACCTGACATGAGGGGTTCTAAGTTGTGTCGCCCACTGTTCGTAACAATACTTCATCCCTTTTGTCACATTTATACACGTTCAGATGCCACCCCCTACCCCTTATGACGGGTGTTCTGCGTCGCCTTGTTTCAATGCTAATCAAAATAATGGAGATTGTTAAAGCGGTTTCTCCGGTCGAGAATTGATTCGATCCGCGTAATCTGTTAACAGCTTCCTTGATGACGTTTTGTAAGCCTCGTAAAATTTGGGCGTTGCTATTAATACAATTAATGATATTACTTACAATGATTTTATGAGTTTTTGGCTTCGAGTACACTAGATCCCAAAGACTTTGGACAAACATAATGTCTGCATCTTCGGGGTTAACTATCGAGACAGTCTACACGAGACCGAAAGAACTCTAACATTACTGACACACTTAAAAATAATTCTTTTTATGAAGATTTCTGTATTCTGGGTTGTTGCGCTGTGTAGTATGGTAGATGTTTACCGACGTTTCAGAGGTCATACTGCCTCCATCATCAGAGTATGAAGATTTCCGTCTTCTGGGTTGTTGCGCTGTGTAGTATGGTAGATGTTTACCGACGTTTCAGAGGTCATACTGCCTCCATCATCAGAGTATGAAGATTTCCGTCTTCTGGGTTGTTGCGCTGTGTAGTATGGTAGATGTTTACCGACGTTTCAGAGGTCATACTGCCTCCATCATCAGAGTATGAAGATTTCCGTCTTCTGGGTTGTTGCGCTGTGTAGTATGGTAGATGTTTACCGACGTTTCAGAGGTCATACTGCCTCCATCATCAGAGTATGAAGATTTCCGTCTTCTGGGTTGTTGCGCTGTGTAGTATGGTAGATGTTTACCGACGTTTCAGAGGTCATACTGCCTCCATCATCAGAGTATGAAGATTTCCGTCTTCTGGGTTGTTGCGCTGTGTAGTATGGTAGATGTTTACCGACGTTTCAGAGGTCATACTGCCTCCATCATCAGAGTATGAAGATTTCCGTCTTCTGGGTTGTTGCGCTGTGTAGTATGGTAGATGTTTACCGACGTTTCAGAGGTCATACTGCCTCCATCATCAGAGTATGAAGATTTCCGTCTTCTGGGTTGTTGCGCTGTGTAGTATGGTAGATGTTTACCGACGTTTCAGAGGTCATACTGCCTCCGTCATCAGGGCGATGGATATGCTGTGAGAACCTCAAGTCTTACAATTCTTTTTATACTAACAAGAGTCCTCTGAGTAACAAGATACGAAACGTGTCGAGGTTGGGGAGGCAGCAAGGACCTCTGAAACGTCTGTAAACTTCTACCAGACTACACGGCGCTACAAATCAGAAGGCAACCATCTTGATATTCGTGAGAATCCCAAATCCAATTATGAATGTTCCAAAGTCTTCTACGTGGCAGGTGTCAATCATTAAACATTTTTGGACAAACTTAAGTGTAAAGTTGCTGTAATTCGAAGAGCTTTTATTTATTCTAATTGCCTCGCTGAAATACCTATAACCAAATTGTAATAAAACTTTTATTTTAATTTCTAATATATTTAGTGTCAATATTTATAAAGATAAAAGTGACTTTAAAAGGGATGAACTATTGCTCTCGGTACGAAAGATTTTGAATAAATCGGCGTATGGATCATTTCTCTTCTACACGAGACCTGGTTCCAGTCCACCGTTCCCAGAGCCAACTGTACCATTTCCTTATTTTGCACATGATACCAATATTTCACTTCCCGCTACAACAGAATCTCAGCAGTGCACCTTCCACCAAAACGTCACCCTAGAATGCTAAAATAACCCCCCAGCTGGTTGCTTAGCAGAGCATAACCGTCCCTTCAATAGGTCCAGCACAGGGC